ATAATAATACTATCATTAAGTTATGAAACGTATAACTATCGCACAACGAACGACATGCTTATTTTGTATTAAAACGGACAGCATTTCCCCTATAATCCTTACTTCCTCCAAATTCAAGATAATACCAACAACACCAAAAACAACAATAACAACATATATACATTATTTTCCAATCTTATGTACCCCACACAATACTACAAAACAGCCCAACACACCCCAATCTCTTCATACATAGTAGTGTCAACAACCCCGAAAATGTTACGACGAACGAACAACCCAACATCTTGCATTTATGTGGTGTTTCTCCACACCCTTCCTCCTCTAAAACTCCACAAAATAGTAGTAAATCATGCAGCTCAACAGCAATACCAAACAGTCCACAAAACAATCCATAAAATAGTCCGCTACAAGTGAATAACTCGAACTCGCGGCTTCCGATCACCGTCCCATGAGTTCTTACAAATATAGAACAACTTACCATGCATCTACAACTGTAAAGAATGGATGAAAGAGAGCAGTAAACTTACCTTATTTGTGGGATAACTCAGCTCCTATCTTGGTTCTTCAAACTCTAGGCTTTACCTCCAATTAGAACTTGAAAGGGAGAGAAAATCAATTGGGGTTTGTGGGAAATTTTTGGGAGGATTTTTGCAGAGATTAAGTCTGGTTATTATGCCCTATTATCATCCTAATATATGAAGGGGATAGGGCTTTAAAAAGTCCTCTTTGATTGACCCGAACTGGCCCAGGTTTGGACGACCCGAACTGGCCCAGTTTTGGATTCTCGTTTAAGCAAGTAGGTGACAGTCTGCGCAGTCTCGCCAAAATACCCATATCTCTCTACTCAGATATCGTATTGACAAACGGTTTAATGCGTTGGAAAGTAGACTCATAGATATTTAATTTGATGGGTGGAACACCCCATAACTCTAAGTATATTAGGAGAAAATCGCAGTTACATTTGAACCAAAGTTTCAGTAAAATTTATGAACGTAACTTGTGATGACTTTCATCTACTTTTGTTCCACCACTCGCTTGACTTCAAAACATAACATACGACTATCATACGAATAACATAACTCGTAACATAACCTCCTTATCATGTAAAACACCCTGATCTCATCCCAAAAGTACATGCTATAACATTCCCAATTTGTCGGCTTTCGACGAAACATTATTTTCTTCAATTTCTTTAGCTTCTAAACCTTCCAACCCTCTTTGTACTTGTTGTTCATGATATTCAATATTTGTAACTTCTGAGGTAACATAATTAACTTGATTTATATATTTTCAAAGATGATCTCATTTTTGGGTCCTACATTAGTTTGCTCACGACGCAGTTTTACGTATAAAAAAATATAGGGTGTAACATCATTCCCCCCTTGGGAACATTCGTCCTCGAATGTTTACTTTTAGAGACTTTGAAAAAGATTTGCCAGAGTTTCCTCCGTACACTAGACTATAACCAACTTGCATGCAGCCAGAAAACATATTATGCATGCCACACATGGCCAATGTCTATAAATAACAGCACTTTGCGTCAAAGAGTCGTAAATCATAAATACTGAAAGTCAGAAAATAAGAGCTTACTTGATGACCTACTAGCCTGAATAGAGTTGTGTTGTAGCATCCCATCTCGAGCCATATCTTCAGTTTGAAATAGGTGGGGGTATTTATACTTCATTTCTTCCTCCGCTTCCCATGTCATCTCTTCCACATTATTGCTTCTACATAAAACCTTCACGGAGGCTACCTCCTTATTTCGTAGCTTGCGAATTTGTCGGTCTAAGATGGCAACTGGAATTACCTTGTATGACAAGTCCTCTATAATTTGTATATCATCTGTGGACACCACTCTGGTAGGATCGTCAATGCACTTCCGTAGCATAGATACGCGAAAAACCGGATGGATTGACTCCAATTCTGAGGGCAATTCTAACTCATAAGCTACTTGGCCCACTCTCCGAATAATCCTGTAAGGCCCAATATACTGTGGGCTAAGCTTGCCTTTCTTGCCAAACCTCATCACGCCCTTCATAGGGGATACCTTTAAGAATACCCAGTCATTAATCTCAAACTCTAAGTCTCGTCGCCGCATGTCAGAATATGACTTCTGGCGACTCTGAGCTGTCAACAGTCGCTCCCGGATGAGCTTTACTTTCTCTACGGCCTGCTGAACTAGGTCTGGACTATGTAACCCAGATTCTCCGACATCAAACCACCCTATAGGAGATCTGCACTTGCGCCCATACAAAGCCTCGTACAGAGCCATCCGAATACTGGAGTGGTAACTGTTATTATATTTAAACTCGACAAGAGGTAG